ATGCAAGATAAAACTCAGCGACAGGAGCAGGAAACGATGATACACCTTGCGCCAAAGCCCGTCTCCCTGAAAAAATAGCGGAAAGAAACGTTCCCGCCGGGTGAACCGATCCCTCACCCAACCCCATTACACGACAATCCCTGGGTGACGGTAGGGCGTAAACGTCTATCAAAGCTGGGACAGGTGATCCCTAACATTACCAAGAGTCAACCGAGACCGCAATTCATAAACAAGGCTATCATGGGCCCAAAGACAGAGCAAAAAGGTCAAAAGCAAAACGCTGTACAACACACCCAAAAGCTAAGACAAGCTCAATAACTCACCAGTGAACCCGTCCAAAGCATTCTCCTCAAGGCGAAAGGCCCAGAAGTATCCAACTGGCTGGAAAAGTCCCAGCTTACAAGACCCAGAAGAGCAAGCCCCCATAACAATGGCTCCCGTTCGCATCTCGTAGCACGAAAGTCAGTTGGAAAAACTCTGCCAAATTACAGAAGCAAATTACAGAAGTGAAGATACTTCAGTATGCCTACTAACGCACATTGGATAGGACAAGGAAAATTCTGATTGGAGCCCCAGAGCCCTACATTCGTGTAACCTCTAAAAGGCTCAAAGCGGGAAAGAACCTAATTCACAGTGTTCCGAGGAATGCTGGATGCCACCCCCGCCCACAGTGGAGGCGAGCAAATAGAGTGGGTAAATGGATCCCCTAGACAATAACTGCGCCACAGCAGGGAGGCCCCTGCTCGTGGAATTCCACTCCTCCAAAGATTGGGATTTGGACCTCTCTAAAGCAGAGATAATGGCAGCAGCAATGGAAAATATATCCATTGGTCATGACTCCACCTTGCCAAAGACACCCGCACCAGAGGTCACAGAAAACGCCCCTCAATTACGGGTAAAATAGACCGTCTGCGTACAGACAACCAAACAACGTACCTGATCGAACTCGCAGCCTCCCCAGGCCAACCCCAACACCACGAGAGCCGGTTCAGCGTGCGAACTCAGCTAACCCTGACCGAAAAAACGCGGGAAATCCTCAGAGGACCACTCCGAGGAAAATATAAACTCGACCCCGACAGATGCCAAGAGCCACATCTAATTAGAGGCGCGCTAGTCAACTTCTGCAGTCTCCTCAACAAGAGGGAGGAGATCTCTGACTTACTCCGCGCCCCCGACCTGTGTGTCCTCACGGAAACTTGGCTTCAGGATTGTACTCCAATTGAGGACTGGAGCAATGGATTCCAACCTTACAGAGCGGACAGAAGCGGAGCCCCCGGCGGGCAATGTCTCTTGCTCATCAGCAAAGAGATCCGCCATGCCCCAACCCAATTCATGGGAAACACGCTGATTACTCAGACAACAGCATGTACACTCAATCTCAACCCGCCGGCTCTAACGGTAGGGATCTACCGCAGCCCATGCGCAACCAGCGAAGAAGACTAACAACTTCATCAAGCGCTAAAAAATGCTTCTCAAACAGGACACCGACTGCTAACTCGCGGTGATTTTAGTGCCCCAAACATAAAATGGCTGGACCTCACTGCCAGTAGGAATCCCTTCGACAAACAGCTGCTGTAAACCTCCTGCTCCCTGTCCCTAACTTAACACGTGATCTCACCTAAAAGAGTTAGACTGGAACAACAGCCTTCTACTCTGGACCTGATCTTCTCAAGAAATCCGGCAGAGGTAACCAAACTGTCTCTAGGGAAAAGCGACCAATGTCCGGTACATTTTTCTTTAGACAAATGGCATGCCCAAGGCCCTAGCTGAGAACCTAGCGTTTCCACGCTATCAAGGTAGAAGAACTAATTGAGAGCGCAAGGGAATTGGACCGGTCCAGCGTCGAGCTCTCTTGTTTAGGAATATAACTTACCTAACAGAGAAGCACGTTCCACTGGGGGGCAGGTGTATTGATCGATCTATGAAAATCCTTCCTGTAATGCCCAGTTAATCTATCTCGGTTCCACATTTCGTAAATTTCACGTTCCATTTACTCAACACCACCCGCCTCACATATACATAAACATTTGACATTCCACTCTCTTTGTATACCTACAAATCGACCCTACCATTTGACTTTGTTTGTTTATCTGCTTCATTTGTACCCTGCTTGTTTTAATTGCGACCTGAGAGCTCACATTTGGCTCGTTCGTGTGTGACGATGAGCGTGCTGTTCTTACCCAAGCTTATTTTCTTCCGTTCAGATTTGTTGAATTACGCTCACGGTGACACTTGACTCTTGTTTTCAAGTTGTTCCGAGATCACTTTAAGGTTTGTATAGTTTTTATTTGCTTATTTGATCGTTTACTATTGCTGTACCGTAAAGTCTTGCTGTATCGTTTTGTTGAAATTTTCGGATCCGATTTCGGCTACGCGTTACTCGTTGATCTATTCAGGAGAAACAAATCTCAAATTTGGACAATTTGGAACAAGAGAATGTCATTCGAACAAGGAGGGATCGAGGGGGAAGGACAGGAAGTAACTCAGCACGTCACTGGGGAATCTGGGGGGTGTTCTGATTCTCACATTTTTAATTCAATTAATCTTGTTAGTGCTAGAAGTTCATGTGCTCTCGATTGTGATATTGATGTTAAGATGTCTGATATATATCTCCTTAAGATTGTAGAGTTAAAACAGGAGATTAGGTTAATGAAGCTTAGGGAAGCAGAGGCTAGGCAACCTTGCTCGACCAAGCATGCCACGACGGGAAAACAAACCCTGCCTATTAGACTGACGCCGAAAGTGGCTCAAGCTCCGATTGAAGTACTGTACCGCCACATGTCGATAGACTTGCCCAAGGTTGAGCTAACGCCATTCGACGGGAACCCCAGCAGCTATTGGAGATTTATTAGAGAATTCGACAATTTCGTTGAGTGTCGGGTGGCCGATCCAGGGCAGAAAATCCTGTATCTAAAGCAATAATGCCGCAGAAAGGCCCGAGACGCTATCGAAGAATGTGTAATGCTGCCAAACGAACCTGGGTATAACCGAGCAAGGGGCATTCTGAAGGAACTGTTTGGCCAACCGTTTCACGTGGCATGGATGCTCATATACAGGGTGCTAGCCGAGGCCCGTGAAGCGAGAAACGAGCCCGAACCGTTAATGAGACTGGTAATGAAGATGCAAAACTGTTTTATTGCCCTGACTCGAATGAATTATCAAGCTGATTTGAACGCACTACACACCCTAGGGGCAATAGAACGATGCCTGCCGGCTGACACAGCAGCGATGGGCGGAGGAGGCGGTGATTATTGGTCGTTTAGGAAGGGAACCGAACTTCACCGAGCTAACGGACTTCATCCGAAACCGTGCCACAGTCGCCAGAAGACGCTTTGGACAACTCGCCAGCATGAGTAGGCGAGAAAAGAGACATCACACCAAAGAACGAACCCATAAAATCCCGAGAGGTTCTAGGAACGCGAATAACTATTCTACAGTAGGGGAACGTGGCACACCCAGATGCCCCATGTGTCGCTTGAATCACGAGTTATCCGCGTGCGAGAAGTTTGCACAGCTAGCAGTTCCGGACCGTTGGGAAGCAGCCAAGAGACATTGTGCGTGCTTTATCTGTTTGAACGGCTCACATCGTGCCGCCGCTTGTAGGAACCGTAGCAGATGCAAAGAAGCGGGGTGTCAAGGAAGCCACCATACTCTCTTGCATTCTGTGAGAGAAATTCAGTTATCGGCATCCCAAAAATCCAGTGTATGCCTACTGTCTCAATCGGTGGACAAGTAGGTACGCCTCGGGGTAACACCAGTGGGCATATTAACACCCAGGGGGGTGATGAAGGCGTTGGCGTTTATCGACAACGGATCCGATACCACGTTGCTCATCAAACGATTCGCCGTAAACCACAACATCACATCCCGACCATCTTCACTGACGATCAACACGGTGAACGGCACCAAGGTGATGTCCGCCGATCAAGCAAACGTGACGTTGCTTTCACTAAACAATGGGGAACGAGTAGAGGTGACGGAGGCTTTGACCATCGCCGACTTGCCGATGCGAGCAGTGGAACCGATCGGGGAATTAGCAACGCGCTGGGCTCACCTACGAAACGTGTGTTTCAAAAAATACGAACCTCCTGAAGTCGATTTGCTAATAGGGTGTGACGTGCTCGAAGCACACTGGGTCATGGACCAGAGACCGGGCGGCAGGAAAGAACCATATGCTGCTCACACCATGTTCGGGTGGACGTTGTTCGGACGGCCTCACGCGACAAATCGTTTTGTTGAAACTTTCGGATCCAATTTCGGCTACGCGTTACTCGTTGATCTATTCGGGAGAAACAGCGGGTTACGCACGAAGGAACAAACCGCGCTGGAAACCCAGGATCTGCAAAGCCCTGGAAAGGAAACGGTTAGCTTGGAAAACATACATCAATCTTACGAGTTTCGCCTCATATAGAAGATACAAACGCCTGAGGAACCAAACAATCAAGAGTACCAGGGAGGCTAGACAGGTATACGAACTTGGCACCACAAGGGACGCCAAGCTGAATCCAAAACGTTACTTCGGGTACGTACAAGAAAGGTCTTCTACTAGGATAGAGATCGGCAACGAACTACGAGTTCAAGGCAACCTGCTCATCACGGATGAGTAAATCGCAAATGCCTTTCTGTCGTACTTCTTACGCACGCACAGAACCGACAGTAACCTTTATCAACCCACCAACAAACACCTCTACGATATGCCTGAAGTTTTCATTACCCCAGAGGACGTAGATAGGGCCTTGTCTAACCTCAATTCAAACAAATTCTCCGGTCCTGATGATGTCCATCCTTCTATCATTAGACACCTCAGCTCCTTACTTAACCCCGAAGTAGCCTCCTCATTCATTATATATCTCTCCCTGGGCATCATACCTTCAGACTGAAAGAAGGCAACTATAATTCCCGTTTTCAAAGACGGAGATTGGTCCAGTATATGAAACTACAGACCTATTAGCCTAACCAATATGATAACTAAAACTTTTGAGTGCATCCTGCGAGACAAGATATGCTCCTTTCTTTTCAATAAAGGTTTCTTCAGCGACGCACAACACGGATTCTTAAAGGGCAAATCCTGCCTCTCGAATCTCCTCACCTTCCTGGACATTATCACGGACAGACTGGATAGAGGCATTCAAGTCGAAGTATGCTACTTAGATTTTCACAAAGCCCTGGACTCCGTGAAACACCAACTAATGAGCTTCTAACTTAGAAAAGCAGGAATCTCCAAGACCATATGCCACTGGATAGAAAACCTCCTCTCCGTTCGTTCATTCACAGTCAAAGTCAGAGAGGCTCACTCGGAAACTGGCTACCCTACCAAGTGGAGTGTCCCAAGGTTGCATACCGGTGCCCCTTCTCTTTTTCATTTTCGTGAATGATATCACCGAAAGCCTTGAAAATCCCTGGTTCCTCTTTGCTGACGACGTTAAGTTAGTAGGTAACAGTTGTAGAAACCACAGAGTGAAAACATCTCTCTTCTAGGTCCAAGGCGGGACCACTGTTGTTCCACCTCCCAGTTACCCCTTTCCGATCATGTATGCACAAGTTCTCTTTAGTCACTCTTGATTTGACCTCGATCACCGCGTGATCCCTCGTGTTAATCATTGTCTATGGTCGTCTGATGACGGATTCTCGTTCCAATGACCTTGTGTGTCTACCTATCGATTCCACCCGTTTCATTGTCCTCTGCGCTAACGTGGCTTTGGTGTGTAATTACTACGGTCCATAACCGCCCCAGCCGCTATATGCCCCGTCATTGGCGCTGTGGCCCCATTCGTTGTCTTGCTCTTTGCGAGTGCTGTTCACGTTTACTGAACAGAATTTCTCCCCGTGGCAAACAGATCATTGTCGATCTGTTTCAATTCATCTTGGCTGTTCACGTTTGGTGAACAGAACTCCTTGCTTAACCTAACGGGTATTTATGTTTCCTCTTTATATATTCATTTGCTTGTCTTTATTTCAGGTCTCTACCCATTTGTTTGAACTCACTTTTTGGCTGTATAGTGACTAAGCCGCATTGTTGAGGTTGTATTTCACGTTGAACTTTTTGAAAATCCTTCCAAACCCATAATGGTTAATGGTGACATAACTCTATCTGTGTTGCCTGTCTGTTGACATTTCTCAATCACAAACACCATACATTATTATTTATCTGTGAATTCGATGCCCTGCATATTTGAATTTTGCGTGGTCAGAGAACATGAGCAACTATTTGGCTCTATCTGAACATCATAGTTGGCTCACTTGCTTGAGTGCTTTTGACCGCATATTTGAGAATTGCTTTATTGTACTTTTGTAAGGATTTCGCTAATTCAGTACCGTAGAACAATACGGAACAATCATGTTGTATTTCGGGATTCGTATCGGTTTCGGCTACGCATCGCTCAAGTGCGAATTGGTTGACGTACAGAGGTACGATATTCTTTGACTCGCCTAATGAAATAAACAATACCGTACGCACTGCTGATCAGTATCGTTACAACTTAGGGGTTCGCATTTCGCTGCGCGTTGCTCAACGGTATCATTGACGCTATACAAACGACCGTAGGATAGTCGATTGCACTCGTGCTAAGGTCGAGCCAGAATGAGTCAGTTTGGAAATTACAACAGTAGACAACTAGACACCATCCAAGCGGACATAAACAAAATATGTGAATAGTCAGCCAAATGGGATCTTCCGCTCAACGCGCTGAAGAGCCACATGCTTTCAGGCGTCACAGGTCCTTCAATCTTCATCTTTAACCCCCTTGGGATTCCGGAATCTCTACCATCAAAGAGCAGTACAACATACCTAGGGGTTAGAATTACACTTGAATTCACTCCATCTGAACAATGCGACGCAGCAGCCGTGAAGGCCCGTAGAGCATTATTCTGTCTTAAAACCGCCATAACGAACAGAAGCGCCGAGGTCTTCATCCCATGATATGCAGCCTTCGTCCGTCCTCACCTTGAATATCGCGTTCAAGCGTAAGCCCCATTTCTCCGAAAGGATATCTGGAGGCTGGAACAAGTCCAAAGGCTCGCTACCACAATGGTATGGGGAATGAAGTAGATGAGCTACAGGGAGAGGCTCCTAGCACAAATCCTCTTCTTCCTGGAAAGGCTACGAGGAGATCTGATTGAGATGTTCAAAACATCTAGGAACCTCAATGGTATTCCAATGGGTCACATGTTCCGCCTGAAGGAAGATAGAGGTCTCCGTGGGTATCCATACACTCTGGAGCGGACAAGAGGCCGGCTGCAAATCGGACACCACTTCTTCTCAAATAGAGTAGTCCCAGCCTGGAATCGGCTTCCGGTAACAGTGGTTTCATGTCGATCGGTGCAGACCTTTAAGCACGAGTTAGACCTAACGTGGAGTTCCCTGTTTCCGGAATTATGCTAAAGATAACTCACCCCGATCCACAAGAAATAGAGGCTGCGCCATCTCTTTTTCCTTTCTGTAATTCCAGATAACTCCTGAACGGTCAAACCGGTAACAATACGAACTCGCAGGCGAGTCAGTTCCAGGACAGAACACGCCAATACCAGGACAATTCATAGGCGAAGGCCTCCTCACGTCCTGCAATTTGAAATTTGAAAACTGAGCTGACCTGATACCTGTCTGAGCAATCTCTTGCACTTT